TTTAGGAAACAAAACTTCAAGAACACGGCCACACAGCCCGGAAGACCCACACCAGCCATAATGAGGAGGACTAGAACTAAACGCTTTGAAGAAAGACCGAAGGAAGTGGGCTTGTTTGGCCTTGGGAAAAACAACTGGGTGAGGAGAAGGGACCTAAGAGGATGTCCCACACCAAGGCCAAGTCATCTCTCGTTCCAAAGCTCAGGGAAGGGGAAAGGGGGCTTTAGTTCCAGGCGGGCCGATTCTGCATGGATGCCACGAAGAACTTTCTAACAGCGCAGTTCCTCCACGGAGCCAACGGCCATCCAGCAGCGTGGTGGGCTCCTTTCCCTGGATGTGTTCAAGCAGAGGCAGTTCGGGAATGCTTTAACCTGGATTGCTGAACAATCCAAGGGGGTGGACCGGATGGCCTCCTGGGCCCCTTTCAGTGTGCGGATTCTCTCTCCTGCATGAGAAACAGGAGCCAGAAGGGAGTGTTTAACGCTGATGGTTGGATTTGGGAGAATCCTGTATAGCCAGCTTGAATTCTAGCGCGAGGAGGAAGGCAGGAAATCTGCCTAGGCACAGAAACTTACCCTGGAGAAATGGTCTGAGGGGAAGCGTTAAGTCTGGTCTTAAGTTCTCCTCTTCTGGGCAGCTGATCTGAAAGTCCTCAGAAACGCCACCAGAGCTATCTTGACGTGGCCTGCATTTGGCTTTGCAAAGGAACTCCATTCCCCCAGCCTCAAGGTGCAACGTCAAAAAGGCACCGTTCCAGGTCTCCATGCTTGGCTAATACCGCATCACCAGCAATCGCCCCAGCCAGATCCTCCCGCCACCCCTCTCTTCTACCCCAAGAGGCACCACCACGCCCTCTCGGACTGGTGGCCTTAGAGAAGTGCCATGGCAGAGTCCCTCAGCAAAGCTTGCTTCGCACCCCTTTTTGCAGCAACACGCTGCTCAGTCCATTGTTTAAGCTGAGTGCAAAGCTGAAAGGGCGTGGAGCTTCAAGGGTGAAGGACTGGTCCTTCTGCTGGGGCCAAAGGGAAGCAGCACACTGCACAAGATGTCCCGAAGGCCGAGTAGGCCCAGCAGAACTGAAGGAAGGGGACTGGTGCTGGACCAGGACGGAGACTGGCTGCACGCTGCTGTGCAGTTCTACGGGAGGACGCTTGGTCGGAAGAACCTCAGGAGCTCTTCAAGTTCCTTTCCTGGGGGCTCAGAGGATGGGGGCGGGATGGCTTGAGAGGGCTGCCTCCCCCAGCGGCTCAGCGGCTGAAAGCAGCCCTGGCCGGGGAGGGTCCCTGAGCAAGGCCACGAGCTTCAGGAACAGGGCTAGACCTGGGCGCGCATAAGCCCCTTTGAGAGGCTTGCAGGTTTCTTCGTGGAACGGGTTTGAGGTGCCTGAGCGCCACCCGGAGATGCCGATCATGCAGCAGCGTGAAAGTTCACTGAAAACTAAACCCTGCCATGCTGGAGCGCACATCCTCCGGGAATGTTGCCTGCAGCGCATTACTACATAAGCGGGAGCTGAGAATTTCCCCTGCATTTTCCCAGTCACATAAAACACAGCAGTAGAGCCACGATGGCCCCTGGGGAAGAAAAAAGCCAAAATCTGCTCCAGCACAATACTTTTATTAGGTCCAAACGAGGAGGAGTGTTTCGTGTTCTCCAGAACTTTCACCAGCTATTTATACAGAAATCAGGCGGTGGGGCGGGGGGGAGGAAAGTCCAAGCCTGAAGCAAGCAGCTATCGCTGCGGGACGCCGGCCTCAGCCCTTCTGAAGACGAGACTGCAGACCGAACCGACCCACCGCCAAGAGCCATCGCGAGCCTGTGGTCACCTCTGTCCTTCCGGGGGCAAGAAGCAGCGGCGGAGCCCGCCAGCGAGCCCACTGCGCTTCTGCCACACAGCCCGGGTCACAGAACTGGGCCTGCTTCTGGAGGAGCACAGGCAGAGAGCAAACATCGAGGGAGATATCACAGCCTTTGTCTCAGCGGGTGGCTAATTTTATACTGTACAATATGCATCCAGGTCAGTCAAGCCACATTCTGTAGTACTGCCTAGTGGTTGCAGTGCAAGGCTTTTAGGGTGTAGAAAATCTGCCCCAAAACACGAAGGGCTCTTTTTTCCAAAGCACATCAAAAACAAGACATCCGTGTCGATCCATGAGGAGGAAGAGATCAATATTAGGCAGTGCTCAGCGTCTGGAAGCAGCTGGATCAGCCTTGGGGGAAACGGGCAGGTCCTGGTCAAAGAGGAAGCTCTGTGGTGACAAAAGCTCCTGGCAAGCTCAAGCGCTTTGTGCCACAGACTGGGGCCTGCCCTGGCCCCAAATTAAAATTAAACTGAAATTAAAACGTTTAAAAATTAATGCTTCACTCCAAGGTTGTGCTTCAAATCCACCTTCCCTGTATTTCCTTCCTCCCAAGCACTTCTAGGCCTGCCATTATGGCCTTGATCCTCCCACAGGGTCTCCCCACACATCAAACATTGGCTTCCGGTCACTGGAGGCATCCCCAGCCTCGGGAAGAGCCCCCATTTCTTCCATCAAGCGAAGATTTGCATCTTAGGCGTCGCCATCACTCCAGGCATCATGATAGGAATAGGCGTTGTAGGGGGATTGGTTTAATCCATAATCTAGTTCCTTGTCAAAGGCATAATCGTCGCCATCCTTATTTCCTTCTGAGATGTCAGAGGTGCCTTCTTCATGGTCTTTAGCCTCCTCCTTCTCATCATCTTCATCAAAAAGATCATCTTCCTCCTCATCCTCAGCTTTATTGCTATCATCAGCTTCTTTCTCAGGTTTAGACTCCTTCTCAGCTGCAGGTTTCTCACCATGTTCTGGCTTTTCAGAGGAAGTTGGCTTGTCACCAGGTGTATGTTTTTCATGTCCCATATGGGGAGATGGCTTCTCTCCAGATGTTGGTTTTTCACCAGGTATGGGTTTGTCATGGGCCATGGGTCCACTATGAGAAGCTGGCTTCTCTCCAGATGTGGGGATCACGTGGGCCACATGCCCAGCAGCCAAAGCTGGCTTTCCATCCAATCTTGGCTTGTCACTGGGGAGGGGCTTGTCCTGGATTGTGTGTGCAGGGCCAGGAATCGGCCTTTCTGTTGAGGTTGGCTTCCACGTACCAGATGTGGGCTTGTCATGTTGGGAGTTAGGAGCAGTCTTTTCGCTAGTGTTTGCCTTACCGCCAGATGTGGCCTCTCTATCGGGGAAGAGTTCCAGATTGGGAAATGCTGGCTTGGAAGCCAACTTGGGCCTGTCAACGCACCTGGGCTTCTCCTTCAAGGGGACTTTCCCACCAGGCAACAGCGTCTCCCTGGAGACGAGCCCCCCTCCCAGCTGAGGCCTCGTGCCCAGGGAAGGGTCTCTCTCAGATGCCACCAGGGGCTTTTCAGCTGGTCTGGGTCCCTCAGGAGGGGCAACTTCCGTGTTATTCACAGACGGTCTTTCCAGCCACGGCTTCTTTTTACAGATGTGCTTTCCGGGGGGGGCCAGACCTGCCACCTTTGGGGGAAGGCTGCCTCCCTTGCCAGGCTGTGGCTCGTCAGCAACCCGTTCCCCCTTCCCCCACTTTGGCCCCCCCGGGGCAAAGAGCTCTTCGGTGCCACCTCGGCCTCTCCAGCCACTACGCGCGCCAGCTGTGCCTTCTCCTCCCGTGAGGCCTGGTTCTGGGGGGGCGCCCCAGGGGCACTGCTGGGGGAAAGGGGCGGCTGGTCTGGGAGTCTCTAGAGAAGGGAGAGAGAAGGCAAATGGCATCAGTCAGCCTCATTCCGGTGCTCCTTCGGAGAGGTTGCCTTACGCCATGCCTCGGGATCCAGGAGTGCGGGGGGGAGACCTGGGCCTGGAGGTGGGTGGCTGGTCCCCTGGGCTGCTTCGGGGTCCCACTGAAGCCCAGTCCACAGGCCCCTCGTTCCAGGCAGTTCCCCCGGAGAGGAGGGAGGCCCTTCTCCGTCTGGGGAGCCTCCTCCAAG